GCATACAAAGTCAAAATTGAGAAGACAGCAACAGACAGTAAGTGCCGCCTATGCAAAGAAGCTGAAGAAACAGTGGACCACTTGGTAAGCTGTTGCAAGAAGATTGCACAGACTGATTACAAGCAGCGGCATGACAAAGTAGCAACAATGGTGCATTGGAAGATCTGCAAAAAATATCATTTGCCTGTAAGCAAAAACTGGTGGGATCATAAAATAGAGAAAGTCATAGAAAATGATAAAATTAAACTGCTCTGGGACTTCAGAATTCAAACAGACAAGCACCTGCAACATAACACCCCAGACTTAACAATTGTCGATAAGAAAGACAAAAAAGTCTGGATAGTGGACGTGGCAGTGCCTGGAGATAGCAGAATAGACGAGAAAGAACTGGAGAAGATAACAAAATACAAAGACCTACAAATAGAAATAGAAAGACTGTGGCAAAAGCAAGCAAGGGTAGTACCAATAGTAATAGGCTCCTTGGGTGCAATCCCAAAACAACTGGAGCACCACTTGAACACCATTGGCATTGACAAATTCGCTATTAGTCAATTGCAAAAGGCGGCCTTACTAGGAACTGCTTCCATCCTGCGACGATATCTGTAATACCATCAAACATCCACATCTGCCTATCCCAGGTCCTGGGTAAGGACTCGATAGGTAGACAAAATGCCAAATCCAGTCTGAACATCTGGCTGACTGTGCGATGATCGATAATAATAATAATAATAATAAAGTTGGAACGGACCTTGGAGGTCATTTAGTCCAACCCCCTGCTCAGGCAAGAAATCCTATACCATTTCGGACAAATGGCTGTCCATTCTCTTCTTAAAAACTTCCAGTGTTGGAGCATTCACCGTTTCTGGAGGCAGGTTGTTCCACTGGTTAATTGTTTTAACTGTCAGGAAGTTTCTCCTTAGTTCTAGGTTGCTTCTCTCCTTGATTAGTTTCCATCCATTGCTTCTTGTCCTGCCTTCAGGCGCCTTGGAAAATAGCTTGACTCCCTCTTCTTTGTGGCAGCGCCTAAGACATTGGAACACTGCTATCATGTCCCCCCCCTTGTCCTTCTCTTCATTAAACTAGACATACCCAATTCCAGCAGCCATTCCTCATATGTTTTAGCCTCCAGTCCCCTAATCATCTTTGTTGCTCTTCTCTGTACTCTTTCTAGAGTCTCAACACCTTTTTTACATCACAGTGACCAAAATTGGATGCAGTATTCTAAATGTGGCCTTACCAAGGCATTGTAAAGTGGTATTAACACTTCACGTGATCTTGATTCTATCCCTCTGTTAATGCAGCCTAGCACTGTGTTGGCCTTTTTGGCAGCTGCAGCACACTGCTGGCTCATATTTAGGTGATTGTCCACTAGGACTCCAAAGTCCCTCTCACAGTTACTACTATTGAGCAACGTACCCTCTATACTATACCTGTGCCTTTGGCTTTTCTTGCCTAAATGTAGAACCTTGCTTTTTTCACCATTGAATTTCATTTTGTTAGATAGTGCCCAGATCTGTCCAGATCCTTCTGTATCTTAAGCCTGTCTTCTGGAGTGTTGACTATTCCTGCCAGCTTGGTGTCGTCTGCAAATTTGATGAGTTCCCCATCTATCCCCTCGTCCAAATTTTTGATGAAGACGTTGAAGAACACTGGGCCCAGAACAGAGCCCTGGGGCACCCCACTACACACTTCCCTCCATGTAGATGTGGTTCAATTGAGAACCACACACTGAGTACGGCCAGTCAGCCAGCTACGGATCCATCTGATGGTGATGCCGTCTACTCCACATTTTTCTATCTTGTCAAGTAGTAGGTTGTGATCTACTTTATCAAATGCCTTACTGAAGTCCAAGTAAATTATATCCACAACATTCCTCTGATCCACTAATTTTGTCACTTGGTCAAAGAATGCAATAAGATTTGTCTGGCATGATCTATTTTTGACAAACCCATGTTGGCTTTTAGTAATGACTTTGTTTGCCTCTAGGTGTTCGCTAATTCATTGTTTGATTATCTTTTCCAGGATCTTCCCAGGTATTGAGGTCAGGCTGATAGGTCTGTAATTTCCTGGGTCCGTTTTTTTTTTCTTTTTTGAAGATTGGAACTATATCAGCTCTTTTCCAGTCCTCTGGTAGTTCCCCAGTACTCCAGGATCTTTGAAAAATATAGTTCAGTGGTTGTGAGATCACATCTGCCAGTTCCTTGAGAACCTTGGGGTGTAATCCATCTGCTTCTGGTGATTTGAACTCGTCTAGGCTGGACAGCTGCCCACTTTTCAACTTCTTGCCTATCTTAACTTGTGTTCCTATTCTGTTTTTTTATGGCACTATTTTCGATAGATTGGTCTGTTTTTTCCCTTTGTGTAAAGACAGATGCAAAAAGCGAGTTAAATAGTTCTGCTTTCTCCCTGTTGCTTGTCACCTTCTTGCCACTTTCACCCACTAATGGACCAATCATTTCCTTCACTTTTTCTTGTTTTTTACATGTTGAAAGAACTTTTTTTGTTATTTTTGACTTTGATCGCAAGCTTTAGTTCATTTTGAGCCTTGGCTTTCCTCACTTCATCTTTGCAGGCTCGAGCTATTTGCTGATATACTGACTTAGTTAAGTGCCTCTCGTTCCACTTTCTATACTTGTCCTTTTCATCTTTCAATTTGTCAAATAGTTCTTTATGCAGCCATGCTGGTTTCTTTTGAGAGCTGTTATTTTTCCTCTTTGTTGGTATTGTGCTAGACTGGGCTTTTATTGTCTCATTTTTCAGAATTTCCCAAGCTTCTTGAGTTGTTTTCCCTTTGAGGATTCTCATCCATGGAATCCTTCCCAAGCCCTCTTTTAGTTTATTGAAATTAGCTCTCTTGAAGTCCAAGACTCTAGTTTGACTGTGTTTTATTGTTTGTGCTTCCATAATGTTGAATTCCAATATTGCATGATCACTTCCTCCCAGGGTTCATATGGCTTCAACACCTTCTATCATTTCATCTCTGTTAGTGAGAATTAGATCCAAAATGGCTAATCCCTAGTTCCCTTCTCTACTTTTTGGGAGAAAAAGTTGTCTGCTAGGTTTGCCAGGAACCTGTTTGATCTTCCACTTGGTGCAGAGTTTGTCTCCCAATTGATGTCAGGGTAATTAAAGTTCCCCATTAATATTGTGATGTTTCCTTGTTTTGTTAAGTTCCATCTTTAACTCTCTATTCTCAATTCTATATCCATTTATCTGTTTGATCTGCTCTGTTATTGTTTTCTGGGAATTTTTTTGTTGTGGAGTTAACTTAGAAATAAATTAATTTATATTTTCAAACTTATTTTGGATTTCTTTGTGGTTTAAAGTCATTGTTGTTTGAATTAGTTGCAGTATACTATATATCTCCTCCTGTGAAGTATTTATGTTTTTTTGATATGTTCTTTCTACATGTCTCTGATCCATGATGGCCAAGAATTTGAATTTTTCTCTTCCTTTCTTTTCTCTGCAAGTAGCTTTAGAGTCTCAATTAAATAGATATTTGTAATCCAGATAGTTCAAAAAAGTTTTTTTTTCCTGAAATTTATAATTCTCTCTTTGTCTACAGCCCAGATTATTGTCTTTTTTTGTCACACCTGTCCTTTGTTGTTAAAACTTTGAAGGTCACAAATGCAGATGAGCTTTTCCCAGGTTTTGCCAAGTCTTAATATTAAAGTCATAGCTGTCATAGTCTTCATCCACTACTAAGTGTCAGCAACTATTTATTTTTCAATTTCCAAAAAGAACAATTATCTTTAAAATGAGAGTTTTAACCATTCAAACAATTTTAGATTTATCCACATTTAATGTTTAAATTTCAGGTTTTATACTTATTTCACTTCCATATATTTTGATCCTCCATAAAAAAATTAATTCGCTGCTTCCATTAGTATAAGAGATGGGTACAAATCCCCCTTCTTTGCTTTCAGAGGTATTTTGCTTCTTGGGAAATTTAATTCCAGAAAATTTAATGTAGAATAGAAAATAGAAGATCGAATTCCTCACCCAGTTTCAAGCATGCTGTTCACAGTTGTGCTGGTTAGTGCTTTTGGACTTTGGTTGCTAGTAGTTTGGGCTGGTCAACGCAAAATAGCCAGCCTTCCTCCTGTCAGGTTAGAAGGCTTTCCCTAAGTTGAATGGAATAGCCGCCACCATTCCAAAATCACTGGAGCACCCTTCTTTCTTCGTCACCTCTCCAGGGTGACTTAGACCCATTTGGGGTCCCCAGGCAGGGCGAAATTAGCTGCGGGGGTGCAGAGAATCTGCAAACCAGCAACTGGTTGCTACCGTGCAAAACCGGAAGTCCCCATTTCTTCAATTTTTCATTAAGGTGGTGTTGATGAATCATACAAAGCAGTTCAATTTCAAGGAAGATATCAGGGCCCTGTCCAAACAGACAAGTAGGGATATATCATAATTTAATGAACAGCTTCCCATATTATTGTAAGTCAGTTAAGGTATTTATGATATACAAGTAGAACTGAAAAGACTCAGTCATTTGGTGACTTTGGGTCAATAGTACATTCTACGCAAAACTGGATCTGGAACACCTCATTGTAGCCAACTTGCCTTGACCATCTTGCCACAGCCAACTCACCATGAGACAACTCACAATGGCCAACACACCGCAGGACAAGAGTTATACTCATATCAAGAAATAGTGGAGTAGAATCATTAAAGAAAGGATGCCAAAGGAGAGACAAAATGAAATGTGAATGACAAAAATTAAAATATTTTTAAATAATTCTAAATAATTAGATAGAACTGTTGAATTGTCCTGCAGGAGTTGTATTCTGGGCAGAACTACCTCACAAGATTTTTTGTGCAGATAAAATGAAGAGATTGTCATGTAAATTGCTTTTATTTCTTCTATGAAAGATAAGCTATATCCTTGATGAGTGATGAATGATAGTATAATGAAAAAAATGAGTGATTAGAACTATTTGCAGTATGAGCAAAAACCATCAATAATTTTTTTTTCAATTTCATATTTTTCCTCTGAGGTCTTACTCTAGCACATCTGTTGAAGATACAACGAACAAAGGGGGAGAACCACCAGCTCTTCCACCAAGACCTCAAAAATCACATTCCAGAGCTTCCTCTTTAGACTTAAATAAAATTTTCCAGCAAAACACTCAAGGTAAGCTGTAGAAGTCTTTAAACTTCCCCAGAAGTTTTATATATATATAATATATATATAATATAATATATAATCCTCAAACACCGGGAGAAATATGGACACATATGGCTAGCAAGGGGCACGCATTTGACTTCATGGGGGCAGAGGCCATTGCTCAGAAGACCTCCAAAGGAGGGCACCTGCTCAAGGAGGCCTGGCTCTCGGATGCAGGTTCAATTAATCGACATATAGAATTGCCCCCAGCATACTGAGCATTAAAAACACACGAGCAAGCCAGGATGCGGACAGTGCTAGCAAGGAGGAAGACTAAGGAGAGCAATGACCCTATGGAGGGAGGACCAGACCCACGACGAGCTGCTGGAGCCAGGGGGGGAGGAAGAACGAGAACAGGAGAAAAACAGCGCGGTTTGCAAAAAGGAGGAGAAGAGAGATGAGCAACTGCCCACCCGGTGTGACCGATGGGAGAGAAACGTATGCATGCTTGCAGACGAGGAACGACCAGTGGGGCATGGATGAGAGAGAGCTGGGGGCAAGCTAACAGCCACATCAGTCGACCAAGTGCAGATGGGATACACCCGTATATTGGAATACGGGCGACAGAGTAGAACTGAGAGTGGGGCGGCAGCCAGTTCGACCAACGAGTGCGGATGAGGTGGCGGGACGGGAGGCGTCCAAACACACGTATGGCCATACGGGAAGGAGAGTTGAAGGAAACGGCCAACCAGGATAGGCAGCGGGAGGCCAGAACAGCAGATGGACAAACGGGATAGAGGGGAGGTGGATGAATATAAAAAGGCAGTGATGATGCCAGACCCGTACGGGCGGCCCAGAATGTACATGAGGAGACAGCTGAGGGACATATCAATGGGGACAGCATTAGGAAGGATAAAGATGAGAGGGAGTGAATCTGGGAGCGAGTCAGCAGGCAATCCACATGACCGCAGCCAGACGAGATGGAGAAAAGGGATATGACTAGGCAGACATACAGCTTGGAATAAAGGGAAATTAGAAGAAATAGGCCAACAGGGATAGATGGAGGTACGTCAGATAAACGGGTGGATCTACACAAACAGGAGGGAAGCAGAAAGGAGAAGGCAGCGATGATACCAGACCCAGCCGTACAGCTCAAAATGCTCATGGGGGGAGGGATGGTGGGTATATTAAAGGCAATGGCACTAGGAAGGACAGTGAGTGAATCTGAGAGCGAGTCAGCAGGCAGCCTAGTTGAGCACAGGCGGATAAGTCTGGAGGATAGGGTGCGGTTGTGTGTGCGCACACCCAAGCATGGAGAAAGATTGGAAAAAATTAGGCCCAGAGGGACAGATAGTGGAAGGCAAGAACAGCGGATGGATCAGCAGAGTAAGAAAGAGGGGGGGCAACAGTGGAGAAGTACTGACAGTGCCAATTCTGAGCGCCCAGCCCAGAATGACCACAGGGAGACAGCAGGCCGATGCAAGGATAGGATTGACAAGGATGAGAGGGAGTGAATTCAGGAGCGAGTCGGCAGGCAGCCCAGCTGATTGCAGACAGAAGGACAGGGCAGGGCTGCATGCACACACACTCAGACATGAGGGGAAACTGGGGAAAATAGGACTCACGATGATAAACAGTGGAAGACAGGAGCAACAGGCAGATAAATGGAATGGAAGAGAGGGGAACAGCAGCGAAAGGGCACCTGGGATACTGGATCCGGACCCGCGGCCCAAAGTGAGTGTGGGGGAGTGACTAGAAGGCATACCAACGGTAACAACACCAGGAAGGAGAAGATGGACAAGGAGGGGAGGGAGAAAAGTTGTGGAACTGGAATGCAAACAAGGGGAGGTGGGACAGTTGAGGCAATTACGGTCAGGACGAATGGCCCTATTACCTGGTCAATGAGTAAGAAACTAGGTTATCAAGGCTTATAAGAGATCTCTCCACCCCCAATACTTCACTCTGAAGACGCTGACAGTGGATCAGCGAAAGCTAAGTTTGTTTTAGTATTGTAAATAGTTGTTTTTATTGTTTTAAATTTTTTAACAATAAACAGCTGATTTATATTCCTCCCGGAGTTCGAGGATTGTATATTATTGAACAGATATGCCCGGAATTCGGATTTTTACAGTCGTTAAGGACATATGTATGTATACATGTATGTGTGTATGTATTAGTTTTTTTTATAATCACAAGTGCTTAAAATATTGTCAGCAACATATTGTCTGGGTTTCAATGCTTAGTTTATTAATACATATTAAGTTCCTTTCTCTCTGCTCGTTTTTCTAGCCAATGGTAAAAAGTATCGCATTTTCTAAAATAAACTGAGTCTTCTTTCTCTTTCATTTTCAATGTCAATCTATCCATTTCTGCATACTCTAAGATTTTTTTTAATTAGCACTTCCTCCGTTGGGAGATCTTCATTTTTCCAATATTGAGTGAATACAATTCTTGCTGCAGTTAATATATGTAAAATTAAATATATACACTTTTTCTCATAATTACCTACAATTATGCCTAACAAAAATAATTCTGGCTTAAACTCTATATGTTATTTCATCATTTTCTCTAACCCTGTAGGTATTCTTAACCAAAATCTTTTGGCTTTAGAGCATGTCCACCAAAGATGGTAATAAATGCCTGGTTTTTGTTTACATTTCCAACAATTGCTTGATGTATTTGTAAAACTTTTTTGCTAACCTCATGGGTGTTAGATGCCATCTATAGAACATTTTGTATAAATTTTCTTTGTACGCTACCGCTTTTGCCATTTTTCTAGTTCTATATTATGTCCAAAATTCTTTGCCCATGTTATCATCGTTTCTTTAACTTGTTCCTCTTCCATCTTTAAACTTAGCATATATTTATAAAGTTTCTTAATCAATTTTTCATCTGATGTCAGTAATATTTTATCAAATTCTGTCTGTTCTTTATAGAATCCAGATATTTTAACATCTTTTTCATATCTCATTTGGATTTGCAGATATGACCACCATGATAAGTCAATACTCTTTTCTTTTAGTTCCTGTCTATGTTTTAGTTTTCCTTCGTTATTCAAAATGTCTTTATAAGTCACAATTTTGTCATAGTTTATTAAGTTTGGGTGAACAAATGCTTCCATTGTTGAAAGCCATCCAGGTATAGATTTTCACTTTTATCTTTTCCCATTCTAGCAAAAGTGTGTTTCTTATGTAGTGATATTGAAAGTATCAGTGAATTTTATTTTTCCTGTACCATAGAAAGACATGCCATCCAAGTTGTAGGTCATGTTCCTCTAGATATAGTAATCTTCTATCTCTAAAAGTTATCCACTCTTTTAGCCATGTTAGAATGGCTGCTTGGTAATATAGATTCCAGTCTGGCAGTCCAAAACCTCCATTTTCTTTTGCTTCTTGAAGCATTTTTAATTTTATTCTAGTTTTTTTTCTTGCCAAATAAATTTCAGTATTGATTTGTTTAGTTCATCAGAGAAGTTTTTCTCCACTTTTATAGGTATTGTTTGAAACAAAAAGAGTATTTTTGGTAAAATATTCATCTTCACTATTGCTATTCTCCTCAGCATTGAAAGTTGTAGGTTTTTCCATTTTTCCAAGTCTATTTTATTTGTTTTAATAGTTTTATGTAATTATCTTCTTTTATTGTTGCACATCTTGCTGCTAGGTAGATTCCCAAGTACTTAACTTTTTTGAAGACCTGTTTTTTCTGATAATTGATTTTGTTTTGTTTTTCTTAAGGTTTTTAGTTAACACTTCAGTCTTTTCTCTATTTATTTTCAGACCTGCCACTTCTCCGAATTCTTCTATCTTTTTTCATAAGCTTAAAGCTTATCTCAAGAGACTCTTCTGTATAAAAACTAAATTGTCTGCAAATGCTTGTAATTTGTATTTTTCATTTTTTATTTCCAGTCCTTTAATTTTCATATCTTGTCTAATGTTTCTATTTAATACCTCCAATGTTAGTATAAATAGCAATGGAGATAGTGGACATCCTTGTCTTGTGCCATTTTTAATATTGAAGTTTTCTGTAAAATCTCCATTTACGATTATTTTTGCTGTTTGTCTGTAATAAATTGTTTTAATTATATTTATAAAGTTTTTTCCAAAGTCCATTTCATCTAGTTGTTGAAACATAAATTGCCAATTTACGTTGTCAAAAGCCTTCTGTGCCTCTAGAAATATTAACACCATCTGTTTTCCTGGATGAAGTTCTTAGTATTCCAAAATGTCTAAAGTCATTCTTAAGTTATTTTTTATTTGCCTTTTAGGTAGGAATCCATTTTGAACTGTGTGTATAAATTCAGTCAAAAATTATTCTGCTATTATTGAGGCAAAAATTTTGTACTCCACGTTTAATAAAGATATTGGTCTATACTTCAGGTATTAAAGTGATATTAGCTTCTGTCCATGTATTTGGTATTTTAGCCTCTAAAAGTACTTCATCACATAGTTCTTTCATTATAGGACTTAAAGTATATGGTAAAGATTTATAAAACTCTGTGGGTAGTCTGCCTGGGCCTGGAGTCTTATCACTTTTTTGTCTTTTAATAGCCTCTATCGTCTCCATCATTGATATTTTTTCATTTAAAATATTTTGTATATTCTCTGGAATTTTTGATAAATCTGCTTTTTTAATATAGTGCTTTATTTTTTCTTGTGGAGTTTCCTCTGTATTGTAAAGTGTCTCATAAAAGTAATTATTTTTTTGATTGTGTCATTTTGAAACTGTAAATCTCCTTTTGAGTCTTGTAGTTTATTTATCACTTTTTTCTCTCTTTCTTTTTTCAGTTTGTAGGCTAGCCACCTCCCCAGTTTATTAGCATTTTCAAAAAAATTCTGCTTAGGTCTTTTAATTTGTTGCACCCTTTTTTGGCCTCTGCTAAATTTATTTTATGTTTTATTATTTCCATTTGTTTTTTAAGTATTTTCTTTTGTGAGGCTATTTGTAGTTCTGATTCTAATTTCTTAAGTTTTTCTTGTAGTTTTAACTGTTGTTTTTTTTTCTTTATTCTTTTTTGCCATGTAAGTTAT